CAGCAAGAGTCCAGATTGAAACTGGCTGGATGGGGGGTCCTGGCACCAGGTGGCCTGATGATATCTGTGTCCAGGGCTGCGGGGCTGACCCAGAGCTGCCTTGCAATGGCCGTGTATAAGAAGGGCACATACAAATATAACTTACAGGGGCCCCTGGTGGCTCAGTTGAGTAAGCATCCAACTCTTGATTTCTGCTCAAGTCATGATCTCACGGTTGTGGGATCGAGCCCTGCATCAGACTCCACACCGTCTCCCAAGTGGATCCTGCTTGGGATTCCCTCTCTCCCTCTCCCTGTGTGCCCCCCACAGGGAGGGGGCATGCTCTCTCTCTCTCTCTCAAAAAAAATATATATATAACTTGTATATATTTATACACACACATACTTGGGAAATGGAATTACTGACCCATATGCAAATATTCAGCCAGTTTTCCAAAGTCGTTCTCCAGGTTCCTCACTGGAGGAACGCACTGGGGCAGGCTCCCTCTGGATGGCTTTGCACTAACTCATGCAAATGAGTTATAATAATGTATATATTATATATATACATGTATATAATGTATAATAATGTATAATTAAATGTATAAAAAAGTATAATTACATTATAATTATTACTGTAATTATAATAGTAATATTTTATAAATAGTGCTAGTATATTATTACTAGTACCATTATTATTAAATAATTATTATTAATGAGCATTTTTTCAACTCTTACTTTTATCAACCCCACTGCCAGTTAGGAGCTGGGTACTGTGCTAAGCATAACATGTATTTTAATTCAGCTTCCACAACAGTCCTGAGGACCGGCTAAAGGAATTGAGGCTTTAGAGACACGGAAGAAACTTGCTGAGCGCATGTGGCTGCTAGATTGTGTTATGAAGATGGACACCCTCACTCTTGGACTCAGAACCCATACTATTAACCTCAGTGCATTTGATTCCATTAACAATTCTTACTTGATGAATTCCATTAAATTTGCTTCAAGGGCCGATCTTGTTCGATTTATGTTAAAAATGAAATTTTGTGGTGCACCTGGGGCTCACGTTGGGGAATGGTGAGCATCTGACTTTGGCTCAGGTCATGATCTCACAGTTCATAAGTTTGAGCCCCACATGGCCCCACATGGTCCAAGGACCGTAAGTCACCATGTGAAGGACCGTATAGGGCCAGTCGAATGAGCTGCACACATACTCAATCACCCGATTTGGATGCTTTGCCCACCTGTAAGCCCATATCTCCTCCTGAAAATATATATCAGCCTGACTCTAGGGTTATTGTAAGAATACGCATAAATGAGTAACATCCATAAGACTTTTCGCGCCCTTATACAACACCTGGCCGTCAGAGGATGTTCACATCAATGTACCCAACTGAGCTGGTTACCCTGGGCATTTGAGCTGACATGGCAAACCTGGCAGGGAAGAGAAAAAACCCTGGGAAACCAAAACCTGTGAGAGAAGGTCCAGGAGGAGGAATTCTCCCAGGCACCTGCAGTGTCAAATAGCCAGGGGCAATGCCAGGCGGGAAGTTGGTGGCTCAGAGCCCGCCTGTCAGAGCCCTGGCTCCCAGAGTCTCCAATTAATCTGGCCATCGGCTCTCATCAGCTCTGTGCCCTTGCCTGAAGTGATGTACCCATTCTAGTGTCTCAGTATCATCCTCACCAGAGACAGGATCAGGATTGTTTCCTCCCTCACAAGTCGTCTGTTGCCATGATTAAATGAGGTATGCCCGTAACGGAAGGTTTATTGCAGGAACAGGCACCTGCCACTGCTTCCTTCTGATGCCTTCTCAAGTCCACTTGCTCCACTGCCCCCAGCACCCCCCTAAACCAATGCCCTAGACTTATGCCTCCGGTCACTTTCATGTATTAATAAGACATTTTCAAAGTGAAAGCCCAGAATTCTGCTAAATCAGAACTCAGATTCATCCATCACAGCTTGGGGCTCATGTTAAATTACTAACCCACAGAGGATCGAAGGAGGAGCCTCCCCCACCACCCACCCTCCTGCTCTTCTGCTGCTCCTTATAATATGCAACTTGTGGCATGAGGCTGAGGGGAAGGAGGAAGGGGAGGAAGGACCTCGCCTCCCTCACTGGTGCAATTGGACTCTAGGGCGAGAAGGCTCTTTCTCACAGGACGCCCTGTGGCTCCGTGGGATAGGCTCCAGACACCTTCACTGAGACCCTTTGAGCAGTCTTAAATACTCCAGCGTGGCCCCTGCACTGTCCTGTCACGCCTGACAGCAGGCACCCTCTACAGTATGCCCCTGCACCCCTTTTTTTACCCTGCTCTGCCCGGGGACCCCTCCCAGCATCTGTTCTTTAGATAGGGTCCCAGCTTCTCACCTCAGCAGTGCTCAGTGTTGGCCATTCTCTGCTCTGGGATGTTCTGGGCATGGTAGGAATATGAGAATTCTTGGCCTTTTACCCACTAGATGCTGTGCAAGGCACCTCCCAATCTTTGTGAGACAACAAAATGTCCTAGGGGACAGAACTGCCCCTGGTTGTCCACCGGATTAGCATCCCAGGCAGAGTAAATCCTAAGTTTTGGTGCTCCAAGAGACATTCAAGCTCCCTGAACACTTGGCACAGAGGCATTAATCCCTCCTCTAAATACTCACTACACCTTTCCATTAACCCATACTTTCTGTTTCATAGCCTAGAGGGGGTAATAGCTGAGCCAAGAGGAAACCTGGAGTGTGGTTTGGACCACCCCACCATACCCCACCCCCCCCACCCCCACTTGCAAGCCTGCAAATGGCTCTTTCTTTTGGAGGGAATGGGGAGCATTTTCCACTTTTTGTGCTCAACCATTCCTGCAGGAGAGGACACATTCTATGTGGGCACAGCACAAGGACAGGAAAAGGACTATGTCGGACGTTAGGTTCAGGGATACTGTAACTGATTGAAAACAAATGTACCTTGAGAAACATGTACTTAATAGCAAATATTTTGAGTATATACACCTTACTTAATAAAACTAGATTTTGAGCGGGCAACTGGGTGGCTCAGTCAGTAAAGCGTCCAACTCTTGATTTTGGCTCAGGTCATGATCTCACGGTTTGTGGGATTGAGCCCCGTGTCGGGCTCTGCACTGAGTGTGGGTTCCACTTGGGACCCTCTCTCTGCCTACCCCATGCATTATGGAGTGCTCTCAGATCTCTCTCTCTCTCTCTCTCAAAATAAATAAATAGACATTAAAAAAAGAGAGAGAAAAAAATAAAATTAGATTTTGGGGCTGGGCCTGCAGTACAAACTGCAGGAGAAAAGCTCTGTGTCCTGTTCCTGTCCTGTGCCTCTCATGTCATTGCACACTTTCATGCCACGGAAATGCATCCCAGATCTCCCCTGGCTGAAGAGGGAGTTAACCCTAACCCTAACCCCACACCCACCCCCACCCCCCCACGATGAAAGGGAGTGGGGGGAGGAAGCAAGCTTGGTGGGCAGGAAGAAAGGAAGACAAGGAATAAGGACAGTAATTATTCTTATTCCTTTTTATTCTACATCGGCCCCCTCAAAAAGCACTCACATACAGGAATGCTTTCGTAAACGCTGACTTAGGTCTATTTCAAAATAGGAAACTTGATGTCATGGAAGAAACAAGACACGCAGTTCCATAATATTTTATTGTCCATAGCATCCAAGAAATTCAATACTGAACCTTCGGAGCAAGAAGAAAGTTGAACATATTTACAACGAATGCCAGAGAAGAGATGAGCAAAGGAATATCATGAAACCTTCAGTAAATGCGCTCTCCTTGCCAGTGAATTAATCCGTGTATTTGCAGCATAGATTACTGGACAGGCCACCTTCCCAAATTACGTTCATGGAAGTTACTGACTAGCCATCCACAGTAACTAAAGCCACAGTCTGGAAACGTGCATGTCACGGCAGTGAGAGCACTGGGTTGCTTTAGTTCTGTTTCCCAAAGGCATTAACTCCTTTCCCCTTCCCACTATCACATCGGACAAATGGAAAAGTTCCTTACTCTCTCATTGGCTCCCTTAAAAGTCCCCTCGGGTTTGAGGTCCCCGGTTGTCAGACACCCAAGACCTTGCCGACTCAGCGTTCACTGCCAGTCACTGGTCTAACCACCAATCAAGTGACTGGGTGGGTGTCCTGCTTAAAGTGAAAGTGGGCTTTTAGTAAAATCCTGCCTCCCCCACCGAGGTGCTGCACTTCAGCTGCTATAGGTCTGCAATCCCTTCTCCAACACTCCAAAGTTTCCAAAAGTTCTGAAAACACAGTCTGTTCATAAGCTGCTGGCACACTCATTTGGTGGCAAAACCTGGTACTTACGGGCTGCTCAGAGTCCGTCTATCCAGCTTGTGTGAATATGTATGGGTTGTGGCAGAAATATTAAGGTGTTGATTTATAGGGTGCTGTCCCAGACTCTATCAGTGGAGTTCCGAAACACATAGTATGTGCAACAGGTTAGCTTTCTAAAATCCCAAAAAGTCAGAGTTTGAGGAAAACACCGGTACCACCGTTTAGCATAAGGAGCCGTGGACCGACAGTAGCCTGAACGTGTGCCCAAGTTCCAGCGGGGCTAGGAAAGTTTTGTGGATCCCGTGTACCAGTTTCTTTAGTCTTTCGGGGAAGTAAGAATGTCTGGAACATTCTGGTGTTCCCAGAATTCTGATCCCAGTGAAGGAAGGTAAAGCTCTAAAATCCTCCAGATCCCCCTTCCGGGGATTTTCTTTGTGAAAGACTGTATTCCTGCCAACAACCTGAGATAAGCTGACACATAATGAATACATAGATTTCCTCCAGAGTAACTCCTTTTCATTAAAAGCATTGTGTCTTATGGGGAGGAGGTGAAGGGAGAACAAAACAAAGAATTGGAAAAGAAGGGTCTATTGGTATGAGGGCTACACAGGTCAAGTACCAGCAGCTTCCAGATCCAGCAATATTAACAATTTATTGTATTTAGAAAGTGTTTCTTTGGATGCAGAGTTTACAGAAAAGTCAGGTGAGACTTAACCTGGGCTTTTGCCACTTAAGGGGAACAGAACTTGCCAAAGAAAATGATGTTTCGCGTTTTGTTGTGCCTGACGATGTAAATAAATGGGTGGTCGGCATTGAATTCATCCTTGTGTTGCAGGATTCGTGACCCTGGCACCTCCATGGAATCCCCACCATCTTCAGTTATTTCTAAGCACACTCTGTGAACAACATTGGAGAGGGCCACTCCCTTGGTCTCTGACATTCCAGAGAAATCGGATGTATTCTCATTAAAGATATTTTTCAGCCCTAGATTTTCCAGACTAGCTTTGGGATCAACAATCTTTTCCACCTTAAATTTTGGAATGGAGAGTTTGACTTTGGCATTGGCCATGGTGCTGGGATTAGTCCACTGCAAGAGCGTCTCTGAGTTGAGTTGTTGTTCAACCTGAAGGACCAAAAGGAAAGGAAATTATTATTTTATTCCCAGATGTGAAAGATCCTGCTTGATTGGCAACAGAAAGTGCCATCGTGAGTCCAGTGCTGAAGCAGTGCCCTCGGACCACCGAAAATGGAATCAACCCTGCGGTCTGGGTGTGGGACTGGTTTCCCGTATCAAAGATGCACCCAGCCAGCCAGCACTGCTCTCCTCCCCGCCATGCTCCGACCACAGTCCCCTTGCCCCGAAATGTCTCAGGCTATTTCTTTCAAGTTATAGAGTAGAAATGGATGTGTGGCCGATGATGTTGCATAAATAAGAGTAAAATAAACATAAAACTAGGAGGGCTTTTATCCATACTATTGCTTGAATGCTGGTTTTAATTTCTCCTCTAGGAAATCCAGAATATTCGGGTACTTGGCCTGGCATCAAAAGTAACTCAAATCAAATCTAAAGTTACTCTTTGTAAAATGAGTTACTCTTTGTTAAGCTGTCTATGGTCATTCTCGAAGACCGGGGGTGATGAATGCATCCATTTCAGTTGGTTATTTTAAAAATGAGAGCTATGCCATGACACATGGAATGGTTGAGTCACAAAATTCTTCACTGAGCAAATCTGAAATTGCTCCTTGCCCTCCCAACCCCTCACTGGCTGGAGAAGAAACAAGAATACAACTGAGTTTGATGGTACCTTGACCGTATTATCATGGGACAATCTTGCACTGAAGTTATTCACATGAAACTCATAAAATCAGTAACATGGCAAGGTCACAGACTGGTCACAAGTCTGTTTGTTTTGTGCTTAGTGGGGGAAGGTACCGTTGGATTCTCTTGTTCATCTATGATAATCTGGTTTTCAATGACTACTGTTTTTATTTATGGCACATTATTAGAACCAAAAGATTGCCATAAGTAACTAGAATTTTTCAGCCAAAAGGTATATTCTCTTGCCCATTTATTATCTGAGAATGAAGAGAGGGAAGAATATCATTCATAATTCAAAAAGACTAGTCAGAAGGGGGAAAAAAAAAAGTTTTTTCCCCTCCTCCATTATATATATGTGTTATGGGTCAAATTGTGCCCCCTCCCTGCAAAAAACTAAATTTTTATATTGAAGTCTTAACCCACGGTGCCTTAGAAGGTGGCCTTATGGGGAAACAGAATGCTTGTAGGTGTCATTACTTAAGATGAAGTCATTAGGATGGGCCCTAACTTAATATGACCAGTGTCCTTATAAAAAGGAAAATTTTGGACACAGATACACACGCATACAGGGGGGAAGCCACGTGAAGACAGAGGCAGAGATTGAAGTGACACATGTATAAGCCAAGGAACACCAAAGATTGGAGGCCAATCTCCAGAAGCTAAGGGGGGAGGCATAGAACAGAGTCTCCTTCACAACCCTCAGCAGGAACCAACACCTGAGCTCAGATTTCTAGCCTCTGGAACTGTGAGAGAATAAATTCTTGTTTAAGCTACTCAGTTTGTGGTACTTATTATGGTGGCCCCTGGAGAAGAACACAAAGCGTGTTCTGGAATTTCTCTGAGACTCAAAAGTTTGGTTTCTCCCATTCTGTACTTTAATCAGAAAAAAAAAAAAAAATGGTATGAGGGTCTTTCACGTAAGTGGCAAAGTGCAAAACAGCTGAATAACAACAGCGAGAGAAGAGGAGATAGGGCATGGAGTGGAGTGAAAAAGAAAAAGCGCAGTGAATGTGAATAAAAGAATAATGAAGGCCAGGGATGCCTGGGTGGCTCAGTCCATTAAGCGTCCGACTCTTGGTTTTGGCTCAGGTCACGATCTCACGGTTTGATCATGGGTTTCAGCCCCACATCAGGGCTTGGGATTCTCTGTCTCCCTCTCTCTCTGCCCCTCCCCTGCTCGAGCTCTAGATAAATAAATAAATAAATAAATAAATAAATAAATAAATAAATAAACAAACAAACATTAACGAAAAAGAGTAACGAAGGCCAGTGATGGATAAAGCGTAATGACCATTAAAGCAGCAGGTAGGACGGACATGGACTGAGACCACTCCCTGGAAAGCCAGGGCGTAACCGAGGCATGACTGGAAATGAAGCAGGTGACCTCTGGGGTCCTCAACGAGCCTGTCCTTCTCCCTGGCCAAGGGCCGAGGCCCCGGTGGAGGGGAGCTAGGGAGCTGGGAACACGGGGCCGAGGGGGGAACAGGTGGCCCTGGGTGGCTGGATGGGGCTGCCAGAGCAGAGGGGGAGCAAAAGCATCCTTCACAAGGAGATGAACCTCTACTGTTATCTACACCTCGTGCCTCTAATAACCTCCATAAAGGATGAAGCATAATAAAATCTCCTCTGTGTGTACGCATTAAAAGAGCTTTTCCAGACCCATAGAAGGTACAACACAAAGTGAACCCTAAAGCAGGCTGCAGACTTTATGAATAATGTGTGGACAACTGGTTCATCGGTTGTAACAGATGTACCACACTAACGCAAGATGCTAATATATAGGCACTCGGGGCTAGATTAAGAACACAGATTCCAACTTTCCGGGCTCCAATTCTGATTCTACGTGCCACCGATGAGTTAGGTGACCACAGACTTGTCACCTCCCCTGCTGTGCCTCAGGTCCCTCAGTCAACAAGAGCACCGTGACAGCTTCTAATAAATAGATAGGCCTGTCCCAAGAAGTTGAGGAGAAGGCGTACATGGGGACCTCACAGCTCCTGGCTGGTCACAAGTGCCAAATACATGCTGGCCGTTTTCATATTAAAGACAAAGGCCCAGAAAGGACCACGAAACCCTTGGAGACGACTGAGCAAGTGATGTGTAAGGCAGGGCAGCGTCACAGCCACGCAGAGTGCCCTCCACACGGCTCCTTGTCACAGCAGGTGGCACCTTTGTGTTGAACACCCCTCTCCCTCCTCACCTTCTCCAGGCCCGTGGACTCATCCTCCACATCCTTGGGGAGCAGAATAAGCAGGCTGAGGTGTTTGTTTTGAAAGGGAAGCTCTATGATCTTACAATTAATACCATCAATGTTGCCCATACAGAACGTGGCGTCCATATTCATCATCTGCACTGGTTTGGTGTCTGTCTGTAAGAGGAGAAGAAATTCGGATCACTTGCTTTTCAGTTCACACAAGCATAAATACACACACCCGCACGCACACGCGCACACGCACACACGCACGTTTGTTCTTGTTATAGTTTCAGACCATTGTGGTGTAATCATCCCTCCGCTGGGATCCCAACTGTACTGGACCCAGACCATCACCGACTGTCCCCGGACGAGCAATGACTTCCTTTGAAAAGCCATTCACACGCCTTATCATTCCAATATATTTCGGGAACTATACGTAATACGGCACTTGCTTATACAAAACATCGAAAATAAGAGAGTAAGACTGAAAACAGAAGCAGACTTTGACTTAGTCTTTATAGATGCTCATAATCGCCAGCTCTTTATTCCTGGTGGAGTGGAAATAAATTTGAGGGCAAACCACATAGCTACTTAGGCAGCGTTTGCTGATCGAATACGTATGAGGGAACACTCAGCACACAGCAAGACACAAATCACATTTGTTTGGTCCTCTGTTCTCCTTTGTTTTTAATCCCCCTCTCCCTGTACGGCCGCCTACTCTGATCTGAGCTGTGAAGAAGTCTGAATTTGAGATAAGAACCTGGGGTTTCCGTCTCAAATGTGACATAAACAGATGGTGTGATCTTAAGGGAATCACTTCACTTCTTGAACCTCAGTTTCCTTGTCAGTAGCAGGAGGGAATTGGACATTTCAGAAGGGTCGTTACCTCTGGGGAGGAACCTTGAGACAGGGAAGGAGGGGCTACCCAGGGGAAGTGCTATTGTTGCTGTATTTTTTTTTTTTTTCTTTAAAAGATCTGAAATAGAGGCGCCTGGGTGGCTCAGTCGGTTAAGCGTCCGACTTCGACTTTGGCTCAGGTCACGATCTCGAGGTTTGTGAGTTCGAGCCCCGCATGGGGCTCTGTGCTGACAGCTGGGAGCCTGGAGCCTGCTTTGGATTCTGTGCCTCCCTCTTTCTCTGTCCCACCCCTGCTCATGCTCTGGGTCTCCGTGTCTCTCAATAATAAATAAACGTTAAAAAAAATTTTAAAGATCTAAAATAAATACAGCAAAATATAAAGATTGACAAAGCTGACTGTTGAGTACATTGGAGTTTGTTTTATTATTATTTTCTAGAATACTCTACATGTTTAAAATATTTCATAATTTCTTAAATGAGAATATTAAGCAACCAAATTATCTCTTAAGTCGCTTCTAGTTCCAATGCATTCCACACTCCTCCAAAAGGGTCTTCGTGCCCAGGCTTTTCTCTCTGGGCAGCATCCCAGGCCCTTCCTTCTCTCTGTCCCCATTGATATCTGACTGTGCCTCTGCTACTGACATGACTGATTTTCTGAAGGAAAATTAGTTCATACTAAAGAGTAAGAGACTGACAGTAAATTACTGTAGCTTATTATTTCGATCTCTACCTCCCTCAGGATATTTGCCTGTTAACTGGATCTCTTTTAGGGGAGATTTTAAGCTTCATATCAGGCCTGGGAGATAATATTTCAGTAAAACTTATATCTGGGATCTTCTTTTTTTTTTTTTTTTTTTTTTTTAATTTTTTTTTTTTCAACGTTTATTTATTTTTGGGACAGAGAGAGACAGAGCATGAACGGGGGAGGAGCAGAGAGAGAGGAAGACACAGAATCTGAAACAGGCTCCAGGCTCTGAGTCATCAGCACAGAGCCCGATGCGGGGCTCGAACTCACGGACCGCGAGATCGTGACCCGGCTGAAGTCGGACGCTCAACCGACTGCGCCACCCAGGCGCCCCTATATCTGGGATCTTCAAACAGTAAACTGAATTTCCCCCAACACCTCTCAGCAGAGCTAGACTGTACTAATTTTACTTTTTGTAATACCTCTATTTCAATACTTGTCACAAGGTTAGAAATGTTTATGTGACTGTTTCCCACACACACACACCCCTCACCCTAACTAGACTACAGTCAAAGCAGAAACCATGTCTTATGATCTTGATATATCCCATCACGTAGTAGTTGCTCACTAAATATTTGGTCAATAAATAATTAAAGACTTCCATTCTAGGTACAACCAGAAATAGAATTAGGATAGAAAAGCACACTACTTTTGAAATTTACTGCTAATGCTTCCATTTATTTCTCTCAAAGACGCTCTAGATTTGTCTAAAACTCTCCATCACGTTAGACGGCTAGTCATCTGAATTTGCCTACAGTTGTGGCCACCAAATACAGTCGTCTATTGCATTTATCAGCACCGAAGATGGATATAATAATTCCATTTTCTAGAATATAAATCGAGAGACATATCTTCTGAACACAGGACTAAATACAGACTCTTCCAAAAAACGTGTGTGTGTTCACCTTGTCCGAACAGGCACTATTTACACCTTTCATAATATAACTTCCTCAATTTAGTCTACCCTTAAAGAAGACACCATGGGACAGGAGAAAAGGTTTATTTAGTAAGACCTGTGAAAAAGTTCAGAGGCTGACAAAAGTAATGCAACGGAAACAAAGGAAAAGTCCGCATTCAAAAGGAGGGCGTATCCCCACGCAGCCTGGAGCAGTGTTTTCCTGCTTGGTTAGAGGCCACGCTGAAAAATCAGTGACATTTCAAATCTTGAGTGACTCTCTTCTAGAGTCTGAGTCTCCAGGATCTGACACCTCCCAGCTTTATGATTTAATGACAGTAAAGGAGTCCCCCGCACTCCCCCTCCCTTCCGCCCATGAACACTTTCTTAAATATAAAAACTACACCTCTGGGTGCAGTGGGGGCGTGCTCACTGACTATGACAAGAGGGGATTATGGTTCTTTGCCCACCCCTCCCCTCCCAACCATTGGTCTCAGGAAAGGCACACTACCTCCTGTGCCTCAATTTTCCATAATTTTTCAGATCTGTACTTGGAAGCCTTTGACATGCGGCCTTACGTACCTTGTTGATTCTGAAAGGGCATTCTCTGGTTTCGGATTCAGGAAATTTCTTCATCCACTTTCCAACGAAGTAGGCAGCATTAACCACCAGGATTTGGGTCTGATCACTGACACTGCTGTCAGACAAAATGTTCTCAAAGTGGCCTGCAAACAATTGTAGGAAACCACAGATTGCACAGGGTTATTCTTCAACACCACATCTGGGATCCACACCACATCTGCTCCCTGGGTATTTGTCACGGCTGGAGCCACCCACGCGAGGTTCGATCGATGGCCCGGAATGCCTCACAAGGGTTCCTTTCATCCTGTTGCGAGAAGACTTACCGAAGAGATCTGGCGGCAGGGGTGGGGCGGGCAGAAAGCAGAGGGGAAGGGAGGGAGAAGAACAGGAAGAACAGGAAGAAGAAAAACACGAGCTACCCCTTTTGAATGCCTCGTGTGGGGCAGTGTGCTAGAGATTTCCTATGCACGATATCGTGTATTTCTCCCCATTTTACAGATGAGGACGCTGAGACGTGCTGTTAAGTCACTTGCCAAGATGACACACGAGCAAGGACGGATTCGGGATTCTAATGAGTCTCTTGGACTGCAAAGCCTGTGCTCTGGGATGGAAAGGCACGAGTGTAATTTTAGCCTTTTCAAGCGTATTCCCTCACAATGATCCTGTAAGGCCAGGATCGTCCGCCGCATTTTATACTTGAGGAACCTGGGACTCGGAAAGGCCAAGCAGCCTTCCTCGTGCCCGCGGCTGGAAAGCAGATCCGCACAGAACCAAGCTGCGCTCTTGGCCAAACAGCTTGCCACCCTCCCCTCCCCCACCCAAAGATTACATTGCTGCAGACACCTGTTTGTGTCAAGGTCGGCACTGTAATTACCGCAGAGATCAAGCTCCCAACAGCCACAACAGTTCAGCGGTGATAATGCCTTGATAGAGCAAAGTCCTCGCGTTTGAATAGTACCGACGCGTTTAGCAAGGGGTTCTCACTGGCCTAACCCCTCGGATTGCCACGTCTCCGCTCGGGACCCGCTTCGTGGACCTGTGGCGGTGTGTGTGCAGGGCCTTGTGCTGGCTTCATGCTCCCCTGTCACCACCTTAAAATGCGTGATACCTTTTTTAATAAGGAGCCCCGCATTTTCAGTCCCCCCAACATCACACGATGTGCTGAATCCGTAATCGTGTCAAAGAAGGAACTTAAGGACCAGAGAAGAAGGGCAGCCAGCAGGTGGTCATTTCAACTGAAACCTCGAATTTCTGATTCCAAACTCAGAGGACTTTTCACTAAGCTACCTTCTCCCATAAAAACCTTAAATTTGTGAAGGTCTTTTAAAGGCCCTTGGAGAGGGGCGCCTGGGTGGCGCAGTCGGTTAAGCGTCCGACTTCAGCCAGGTCACGATCTCGCGATCCGTGACTTCGAGCCCCGCGTCGGGCTCTGGGCTGATGGCTCAGAGCCTGGAGCCTGTTTCGGATTCTGTGTCTCCCTCTCTCTCTGCCCCTCCCCCGTTCATGCTCTGTCTCTCTCTGTCCCAAAAATAAATAAACGTTGAAAAAAAAAAAATAAAAAAAAAAAATAAAAAAAAAAATAAAAAAAAAAAAAATAAAGGCCCTTGGAGAGCAAAATACGATTATATGGCAATTCTAGAAGCAAAACAATTACACAGCGATTTAAACGGAGCTGCTTTTGCTTATCAATTTTTAACTTGTGCGCAGCCTGGTGTTACTTAGACCTGTTTTTTCTTTACACATGAAGGCAATGAAAAGGTCATTTCAAGGACATATATACGTATGAATATGCGCGTGTGTCCACGCATAGCTATGGCTACCATATATTACCTTCGCTATCTTATATTATTCTTTAACCTATATTGTCTAACCTGATTCTCACAACAACCGTGTAAAAATTAACCAAGTAACATATGCCCCATTTTACAGTTCAGTAAACTGAGGTTCTCTATCCAAGTAACTCAGTGCAAAGTGGCAGTGTCTGGATTTGAACCTGGGTCTTGCATGACTCTGAGACCACGTTCTCTCCATGGCCTCACTCTGCAGTTACAGCGTGGAACCTGTCATTCCTGAGTCGGCGGCACGACAGGACCCCTCTGGCCACTCCTACAGGGCGACAGGACCCCTCCGGCCATTCCTACAGGAAGCGTGTCTCCCTTGCCGAGAAGCGTGACCTTCCCGGGACTGCAGGTGGGACCTGAAAGGTTCATCTGCACAGTCAGTCCTTCACATTTAAGTGCTGTGTCCCAACAAGTCCACTCTGTACAACACAAACATGTCCCCGGGAAGGTACACATGGACACTGACCGGCACTCAGACTCATCCGAGCTCCAATTCCTATCTGGGGAGGACGACTCACCATGGAGGTGGGGTGGGGCGGAGAGGGTCGGTGCAGGAGGAGAGCACTGAGCCAGGGGCAGGACCAGGCAGATACTGCAGAAGAGACCCTGAGGCTAGCAGAGGGCAGACCGGCACTGGGAGTGGTGGGTCTGAGGACAAGTTTCCTCCTCAGTTTGCTTTGTTTTTTCCGGACGTGTGTTTGATTGCCTAGGAGCTTTTGTCCTTTTTTCCTTCAAAAAATTTGCAGAATTTTTGAGCCGAAGGTGGCCGCAGGGATTAAGTTAAAGCCCAAGCCCTTCGTCTCCGCATCGAGAAACTGGCCAGTGAGTGGCCCAAAGCCACCCTCTGTTGGAGGCAGGGCTGGGGCTCCAGGAGGACCAGCCAGCAGCTCCCTGGGGAGCACAGCAAAGTGGACCGGAACTGAAGAACCAGGAACTCCTGCCAAGCCTTAGATGACGAGGGTGTCGACATGCCCAGGAGTCACGTGGTTGACATGTCTGGCATTTCAAGGGCAAGAATTTAGCCTGTCTACTGAAAGCATCCAAGGAAGCCTCCAGATGTTCAGTCCTCTGCTTAGCAGAAAGAGTCAAGAGAAGGCGGTGTCCAAGTAAGTAAAAGATACTTGCCGTCGGTGAGGTCCTTGATGGACTGGTTGATCTGACTTTTCGTCTCTTCCAATTTATCTTTGAAGTCAACGGTTTCCATTTCCTTCGCGTAGGGTCTCTTTGTAGAGCTGATGAACTCCTGAAAAACGTCCAGCTCATAAAATCACAAAATACCTGAACTCTGCAGTCAAACCATCGTGCCCTTCCACGATTCCAACTAAATTGGGGTTTGTAAAATGTCCAGGTGGGTGAATACCCTTTCAGCATCTGTAAATACTATAAATGGAGGCTTCGTGTGGAAATCAATGAAATGCCCTTCGTATAAAGTGTTTCATTTCTTCAATTCTAAGACAATAGCTATTATTAAATGCCTCTCTCAGTGTAGTAGCAGCTTTGGAGGAAAGAAAGAAACATTACGCTACACAAGAGTTATAATATGAATTCCAACTTAGAAACATTAAAGGGTATATTATACAGATATAGATATAGATATAGATATAGATATAGATATAGATATAGATATCTTAGAACAGAAGAAATGTACAGAAAAGAGAACTCTGTGAGCAGAAAACTCTTACTCACTGAAATTCATACCAACTCTAGAGATTTCTTGCTACTAAAAGTGGAGCTCAAGGACCAAGAGCCACAGCATCACCTGGGATCTTAATAGAAATGCAAAATCTTGGGGCACCTGGGTAGCTCAGTTGATTAAACATCTGACTTTGGTTCAGGTCATGATCTCAAGGTTCCAGGGTTTGAACCCCGCATGGGACTCTGTGCTGACAGATCAGAGCCTGGAGGCTACTTCAGATTCTGTGTCTCCCTCTCTCTCTGCCCCTCTCCCCTGCTCTGTCTCTCTCTCAAAAATAAATAAACGGTAAAAAAAATTAAAAAAAAAAAAAAGAAATGCAGGCTCTCAGGCCCCACCCCAGACCTACTGAACCAGAATGTGCATTTTAACAAGATTCCCGGGGGACTCTTCTCACATTTAAGTTTGAAACACGGCTCCGTAGTGAACGCGGCAGGGGTTCTATTGTTAAAAATGCCAAACCCCAAGACCCATCCCCATTGAGTGATCTGAGGCCAGGAATTAGCACTTTTCACAAACATCCAGGTAGTTGTGAGGCAGGCAGCCCCCCTCAGGCCACGCGCTCCTTTGTTCTATTCTTGGTGCATTTGCAAGTGATGTACAACCAACAGAAGGATGGAAAAAATTTCTTTAAACTTCAAAAATTTCTTTAAACCGGCTTTGAAAAAAATCTCTTTCAACTCCAAACTCAAGTTTGGTTGAAATAATTCAAAATGTTGAACGGAAGTTCCACCAAATGACACATAGCTGATTAAACGTCCTAAGCACAGGGGGCCCCTTGAATTTCTTCAGAGCAACGACAGCCTCAGCCACTTTGCATCTGTGAACTACAACCCAACCTTGGGACTGCGTGTTGCCCTTGACTGAGAGAACTGGGGCCACCCCAAAACATCAGAGCCTCACCAAGATAAAGACACCTCCACTGTCCTCACTGCTGGCGCAAAATGTATTCAGCATCTTCGTAAGGACCACGTGGGGAGCTTTCAAAAAACTTTCCATGCTCGGACCCCAGCTCACATCTCAGTATTTTTTTTTTTTTTTAATTCTCTGGGTGATTGTTAGCAGAAAAGAAGGCTGTGTATATATGTCTTCAAGCAATAAGAATAAAGTTACAACATGGGGCGCCTGGGTGGCTCAGTGGGTCAAGCATCGACTTCGGCTCAGCTCGTGATCTCATGGTTCGCGAGTTTGAGCCCCGAGTCAGGCTCTGGGCTGACAGCTCAGCTCAGAGCCTGGAGCCTGCTTCAGATTCTGTGTCTCCCTCTCTCTCTGCCCCTCCCTGACTCGTGCTCTGTCTCTCTCTCTCCCTCTCAAAAAAATGAATAAACATTAAAAAAAAAATTTTTAAGAATAAAGTCACAACAATAATCTAGTGATGGATGTCTTCAAAAGATCTCAACCAGAAAGACAGCTACAGTAGCAGTTAGTAAAACTATGGTAAGCTATTTAACCGACAGTCTACCTTTTAGATTTGGAGAGCTTGCAGTTTTGAACAGGCAACCACAAACTGAATCAATTCTTTATTGTTAAAGTAGAGAAAGAACGTCTATGTGGTAGTCTAGAATGCTGGCTACGTGTTTCAAATACAGACTTGAAAAATATTGTGATATACTCTGGGATCAAATCTAAGGATACTACAGTATACTTTAGATGATTCCTTCAAGAAACAGCTAAAATTAAATACCTAGAGCTACCTTGTACAGATACCCACGTGACCAGCCGAGTAAAGCAAACAAAACCAATTTGTGACGGATGAAAACTATTAATTCATACAGTTGTTATTTTTCTCATTGATTTGGGAAACATCAAGAGAATATTGTATGCAGAAACAGATGAGGCGGAGAACTTTAGAGAACTCAAAATGTTCATCCAGGTCATTTGCCCTGCTGTTTAAGGAGAACCCTAGCTGACCCAATGGTCACAGATCTTAAAAAAGGAGAATTCCATACATTCCCTTACCCCCTCACCTCCCCCCTTAACTAAGCCCCCCACTACTTTCTCAGGGCAGACAGTCTCTCCCTGACTGTCCTGTCTGCCCCTCCTGGCGATGTATCAATAAACTTCTATCTTCTTTGTTCTGCCTCAGGGCCATCCCCCCCCCCCACTCCTTTCACCCCTCCCCACTCCACCCTCCCGCCAGCCTCCATCAGATTGGGCCACACCACACTTGGCGCCCCCCATCTGATCAAGAGACCCCACACTCCCCACCAGGACTGATTTATTTTAATAAGCTTCAAATCATAAATGAGCATCTTAGAAGTGGATTTCGCTGAAAACAAAGTGGTGGGTGTAACCGCGTGAAAATGCCACTCCTGGTAAAGAGTCGAAGCGTGAGAATTGCTTTAACCCACTTACTGTAGAAGGATTCAGAGATTTGTCTACGTAGAGTCGTTTGATCAGTTTCAGGGAGTAAAAGGAACTAAGTTTGTTTACATCCGATGTCACTGTTTGAAATCCAAAGGGTACATCTTTGATGTTTCCAAAATGAAGGACCTGTGAAGAGAAAACAATCCATCATCCGCCAAGCTTTGTCTCTTCCCACTGCAGTGGATACAAGACCATGGTCAGCCGCCTCGGAGGAGCAGTATCTTCCTGCTCAACTGTCCTCATAAGGCAAGGCTTCTCAACCTGAGTGTCATTGACATCTGGGGCTGGATAATTCTTGGGGGTGTGTGAGGGTGCAGTCCTGGGAACTGTAGGATGCTTAGCAGCAGACTAACGGCCAGTAGCACTCCTTCCTCCATTTGTGACACCAGAAATGTCTGCAGGCCTTGCCAGATGTCCCTGGGATGAGAGGGAGAGGAACCGTCCCCAGCTGAGAAATACTGCCATAATGATACTCTTCTCTTTACTCAACTATCGGGGGGATTTTGCCCTTTGTTCAAAATGATGCCTCTGAGGCTCAGACCAAGGCCTTTCTAAACATGGGAAAGAGTGAAGCTGGGGTATAATTTCTATCCAATTTATTTATTACTTTTTTGATATTTACGTATTTATGTATTTATTTATTTATTTATTTTTGAAAGAGAGAAAGAAAGCGCGCGCGCACGCGCATGTGCGCACAAGTTGGGGAGGGGCAGAGAGAGAGGGGGAGAGAGGATCCCAAGCAGGGATTCAGCGCTGTCAGTGCAGAGCCCTACATGGGGTTCGAACCCGCAAACGGCAAGATGGTGACCTGAGCCGAAATCAAGAGTCAGACACTCAAGCAACTGAGCCACCCACGCGCCCCCTTCTATCTAGTTTAGACGCAAGCAAAGAGAGATTAACACCAAGAGAGACCATCACTAGGCAGATGTCAGATTCGGGGATAGAGGGTCTCTAGCAAGGTCTATGTGACCCCATCAGTTGCTCCAACAAGTCGCTCTAACCGTGAGCTGCTGCATCACTGGTGGTAGAGTCAGCACAAGTGGTGGCTGCCCTGGGTGGGCTACAGTCAGACACCCTTGCCTTGGAATCCCAGCCTGTACCCGCCAGAAACGTAATCTTGCCCAGCCCTTCAGAGCTTCCCTTTCCCCTCTGTAAAATGGACTGAGAATACCTACTTTTCGGCGTTGCTATGATCATTGCAGACATTATATGGAAACCATCTAAAACATCATATCGAAACCTTAACGATGAGGGGCGCCTGGGTGGCTCAGTCGGTTAACCTTCTGACTTCGGCTCAGGTCACGATCCATGGTTCGTGAGTTCGAGGCCCACGTCCGGCTCTGTGGTGACAGTTCAGAACCTGGAGCCTGCTGTGGATTCACTGTCTCCCTGTCTCTCTGTCCCTCCCCGCTTGTACTCTGTCTCTCAAAATAAATAAACATTTAAAAATAATTTAAAAGGGGCGCCCGGGTGGCTCAGTCGGTTGAGCGCCCGACTTCGGCTCAGGTCATGATCTCACAGTTCGTGAGTTCGAGCCCCGCGTCGGGCTCTGTGCTGGCAGCTCAGAGCCTGGAGCCTGCTTGGGATTCTGCGTCTCCCTCTCTCTCTGCCCCTTCCCCACTCATGCTCTGTCTCTCTCTGTCTCTCAAAAATGAATAAACATTAAAAAAATTTTTTTTAATAAATAAATAAATAAATAAATAAATAAATAAATAAAAATAATTTTAAAAGAAAAGAAAAGAAACCTTAATGATGAAATTAGGAAGTGGGGTTCACGAGCAAACGGCTAAGAATTCTTGAGACATTTTTGGTGCAAAAAGGTAATTTTAATATAGCACAGGGACAGGCCCTGTGGGCAGAAAGAGCTGCACTGGGGTTGTGAAGGACTGATTGTATACTTTTAAGTTTGTGGTGGGAAGGAGAATAGAGATAAAGTAAGTTTCTGAGGATTTTGAAGCAAGGCTTTCAGGACCTTGTGGGGCTTAGGTGCCATTAAGATAAAGTTACTTTTAGTTTTTAATGACATATAAACATTGAGGCGGCCATGAGTCCCTGAGGAAGGTCACACTCTGGAGGTTTCAGGTGTCAGTGGGCTGCAAGCTGTAAGGAAATTTAATTTAAGCTACGTGTCTCTTGCCTTTGTTTCCCTAGTCAGTTAGTAGTTATTCTTACAGTTATATTCTAAGCTACCTAAAACCACGATGCTATCTTCTGGAAGAAGTCCCCCTCTATTTTGTTCCCAACTTTTCTTTCATTCCAACCGATAGCCCAGCAGCTCTTGTGTTTCATGGTGCCCCAAAACGATGTCAGCATAAGGTGATTCTTTCCTGACTCTTAAGTCATAATAACTGCCCTGACACCACACCCTAGGTAATGTCACTAAATGGGCACATTGTGCCTGTGACTCACAAAGCCTCAGTACTGCAGGGTTAGATGTCTGATCCAAGGCAGTACGTAGCTCTCCTGCCTAATGACAGGTAAAAAGACCAAAAAATTAAAGAACCCAGGTCACCAATTACTGGGGGAACCATTGTAGGTACTGAAAAGAGCTTTATTATTATTACTGAGAACAGACCCACCACCAGGAAGGTCTCTTTACCATCCCTTCTCTAGTGGGAGACGAGGAAGGTAAAAGGGGGTAGGAATGGAGGGGTGGGGGGTGAGGAACCAAGGACGGAGAAGAGAGAGACAGCTTTTCTCCACAACTGAAGTTTCTTTTCCAAGCCTCACTTAATTTCAAGTGTGAATTGTTCATCCTGACCAAAATAATACTTTGTGGGTCTTACTTTGTAGGGATTTATGGATATAAGAAGAGGTCCCTATTTTTGAAATGCTTGTGAGTTGATGGAAAAGAAGATTCTACTGAACATAAAACCATCAACCTAAGAAGATAACGGAATGGAATTAGGAGCACATCCACCTATGACCCAAAAGGGGACAAAACTTCCAGGCATAAAAGAAACAATTCATGGGAATGTAATGTACAGCATGAGGACTGTAGTTAATAACACTGTATTATATACTTGAAAGTTGCTGAGGGAGTAGATCTCAAAAGTTCTCCTACAAGAAAAAAGAATTTGTAACAATGTAGAGTGAGAGATGTCAATAGACTTATCGTGGCGATCATTTCCAACATGTGCAGATATCAAATCATTATATGGTACATCTAGAACGAATATGTTGTATGTCAATTATATCACAGTTGAAAAGAATGATAACCTAAAATAAAGGTAAGTGAGCAAATATGAAACGTAGCAAGATGGAGAAGATCACTCCATTTGGAGGTCTAAGAATTTTACAAAGCTAGATGGTCAGCCATAGCCAAAAAGAAACTCAAACAACAACAACAAAAAAGTAAAATACACACACATATACATATAACTATATGCATATGTGGGGGAGGGTCGACATCAGTTCATTGCATTCTTCTTAAATAGGATACTCAAGCCCCAGGGAGTATTCTGGAACGTAAGTAAGCACAACGCATCTGCTTCTTTATCCCTGTTACTTGAAGGCAGAAAAAATTTTAAGTTATTTCTATACCAACATAAGCACAGATCGATTTATCTAATATGGACATATTATAGGGTAGAATATATCACAGAGTAGAATGAAGTTGAGCCTGCATCTTAAAGTAAAGCATGATGCCATAAATAAACACGCACTGGACGGGGTATCTGCAGTGGCACATTTAACAAACACCATCTTGATTGATTTTCACAAAGTATCAGATAGACTCCCCAAAGGCTACTCGTTAGTGTAAATATTGTGATTGCCTAGCAAGCAGGTCCCCAGGTTGTCCATCACAACATGGTACTTGTAAATGTGGGTCGCAGGACAGATTAACGACACACTTAAAGATAGATTAAGACGATGCAAGAAATGGCATACTTCTCAATCCTGAGGAATTTTCTCCAAGAGCCCCCATTCATTTTCCTGAGGCACTGCCTCTGTGTTCTGGTAAGTCTGTTCCCACAGAAAGCAGAAACAAGGTATGGAGCTTACCTGTCCAATCTCATTTGCTGTGTCACCTTTGGTGCCTACTTGAGCAAGTGACAGAGAGGTGGAGAGACAGATCGGAGAGAAGAGGACATTGCCCGCTGGCTCCTTTTCACACAGTTGTTTGAACAGGTCAACTGCAAAAGCCGAATTTGCCAGTTGTAGAGCGTCCATTGTGGGCCTGCAGCAAAGGACAAGGATGAGGTTATTTCTAAAGCATCTCTGAGGTGTTCTCAACGGCATTCTGCCAATGCAATGGGATTCTATTCAAACAAAGTAACGGTCTTGGGTAGAAGAGAGGAAGGAACTTTCAGTAAATGCAATCTGAAAAGCCAATGGTGAAGAAACTTCTGGCAAAATGTCCTAAGGTCTGAACAGTCCAGCAAATGGGATCCTCTGTGTGTCCAGCTCTGCCCAGAATCTCCAGATTCAGGCCTACTCGGCCACAAAGGCCATCCTCAGGAGCCTGCACACCTCTTCCTCAGCAGGTGGACGGAACAGTTGATGGCACTGATCAAAATCAGTCGGTCTTAAGGGCACCCGTGTGGTTCAGTCGGTTGAGCCTCCAACTTTGGCTCAGGTCACGATCTCACAGTTTGTGAGTTCGAGCCCCGCGTTGGGAATCTCCGCGGCCAGCACCGAGCCTACTTTAGATCCTCTGTCCCCCTCTCTCTCCTCCCCTCATCCACTGGCTCTCTCTCTCTCCCTCTCTCAAAAATAAATCAAAAAATCAGAGCAGTTTTGTATGGTTCAATTTAATATTTAGTAAGTGTTACGGGTTGAATAGTGTCTCCCTAAAGGATATGTTGAGGTCGTGAGGGTGGCCCTAATCCAATATGACCAAGGTCCTTGTAAAAACAGGAGAAAAGACACTGAGACAGACGTGCACAAAGGGAAGATGGTGTGAACGCACCCATGGGGAAGGCCACATGACAACAGAGGTAGAGAGTGAACTGGCGCTTCTACAAGCCAAGGAACACCAAAGATCACTGGCAACACCAGAGCCTAAGAGAAAAACATGGAACAGACTCTCCCCTATGGCTTGCAGAGAGAGCAGGGCCCTGCAGGTACCTTGATTTCAGGCCCCTCCAGACAGTGGGAGAATAAATTTCTATTGGTTTAAGCCACGCAATTGGTGGTACTTTGTCATAACAACTCAAGGAGACTCATACAGTCAGTCATGCCTTAGTAGGCCACCTAGAACACAGCAATAGTTAATAAATACAGCTGTTAACAGCTGTTGTTAGTACACACCTACAGTGTGGAAGACACTACACAAAGTATTAGAAGGATCAACTGAGTCCCTCCTCTTCTGAGCCTGCCATCTCTGGGGGCAGATACATAGACAAGTAAGGGGAATGTGCGGCTGCCCGTGCCGTGCGAGCGGTGTGACAAATCATAGAGGAGTTAATGAAAAGAGAAAAAAGGTGGGTTCAGCTAAAAATACGGGGCCCTGGGAATTGGAGACAACAGCAAGCGGGCACCTAGTCCTGTCTGAGGACTCTTATTCTCATGTAGGTTCTCTAAGTCCCTGAGACCCTTTCGGTGGGTCCATGAGGTCAAAACCACTTTCAGGGGCACCTGGCTGGCTCCGTCAGTGGGGAATGCAACTCTTGATCTCGGAGTCGAGGTCGAGCCCCTCGAGGGGCACGGAGATTTTTTTAACGTCATAAAAGTTTTTAGACATTGTTTGTCTTTCCATTGTCAATCTGTCACAAATATGCAGCAGAGTTTCCAGAGCCTGCGTGATGTGTCTTCTATTAAACCAAATATTAAAGAGATTCGAGGAAATGAAGAGACAGTGTTACTTTTCTTTCTGCACCTCTTTTCCTTTAGAAAACAGTGGTTTTTCATAGAAATAGGTTATTTGTGTTAATACGTAAGGGTCACGTGATTGGTATCTTCAATAAATGAGTAAATATTTTAAAATTTCTCCAGTTTTAATTTCTGATTTGGTCAATACCAATAGATATAATTGACAGAAAGAAAGAAAGAAAGAAAGAAAGAAAGAAAGAAAGAAAGAAAGAGAAAAGAAAAACAACTCTTTGGGATCCTTGGTAATTTTTAAGAGTTCAAAGACATCTTGGAATTGAAAAGTTTGAGAACTGTTATTCTAAGAAAAGGTCGACCTTTCTGTTCAATCCAGTCATTACTGACCAAGCCTGAAGGCACCTAACTGAAGGAGTCAGGGCATAACACTTTCTTGAACAGAACTGGGCTGCATAGACTCTTCAGCCCCTGCCTGAGCCCAGGATAGGAATCCGCCTTTTATGGGACGTGTGGCTTGTGTGCAAGATGGATTCGAGAAGGTTATAATGTATCTCAGAGTCTATAAAAGCAAATCCATTACCAAAAAGAATGTTTTGTTGACCCATTCATGCTCACTGGTCATCTCCAATGACTTCTTCCTCCTTTGTTTTATGCCCCCAATAAGAACAGCTAAGTGAACTTAGGTCATTGTTCTGAAAACCTACCACAAGGTAACCTTAAATCTTACATTTCTTTGGGGCCCGAGACCTTCTCCTCTCTCTGGGGCGGGATCTGCTCGGGATGACTGTGCACTCCCAGGCAAAGCCGCCCAACATCAAGGGTACGGAAGGCCATGAGACAGAAATGGAAGCACACAGGGTGTTTTGACCAGTACGTCCACCACGAAGAAATTATAAGAAACTTCACAAAAGCTTTGGGGGATCCCTGTAACAGACTTTCAGGACTTGAAGTCTGGCTTTCTCCAACAGCAAATTTAACACGGATGGGGCTGAGTTCATCAACAACTAAAATTCAACATGAGTCATTTCTCCATCAAATAAAGATGCCTAAATGAGCTATTTCTTCACCAAAGAGAGAGGCCTAAAACCCAAGCCACTGCAAACTTCTCGAAGCTTTTACAACTTGAGGCCTTATCACATCAATAATAAGATGAAAACATACCAACTCTGCTTGAACAAACATCAGTAGTCCTTCCCAGCATGTACTTCCTACCCTTCAAGAAGAGAAATTAGAATAATTTTGCATAATCGATACAAACTTTACTTTTAAAGTTTGATTTCCTCTGTGTATTCAAGGCCTCGGAGTAATCCACTCAGGGAATTTTGACTGCAAACACCTAGAAGCGGATCAAAGGGTAAGGAAATGTTCATTTTACCACATTGTTCAAGCGAAGCACTCTTCATTCATCCTTTAAAGCATCTGAGGGTAAATTTAGTCTAAATGGTTCCATGCGATACAAGATAATGGTGGTTTTTAGGACAGCTGATTACACAATCCAGTTAACGCTGTGTTGCAATTCAAGGCTTGGATTTCCAGTCCCTGATGGAAAATGTAAATCAGTACACGTCTATCAGCTGATGCTTTCCCGACAGGGGCAGACCCTCCCTTTCAAGAGTCTGTTCCTTTGCATGAAAGTCCTCAGTGTAGGCGTCCAAACAGGTGTGCCTTCTTATCTGTGTGCTGACTGGCTCCTTTCTCAGAAAATTCTCCCACGAGTCAGGGAAGGTCATACGGCCTTAATATCTGAGGTCCTAGAGATAACAATATTGTTGGATGCCTGACGAAGGAAGCAGAAAATGGGTGCACACGGAAATCTGTGTAGAGGCAAGCAATCACCAACCAAGTAACCCACCAGATATCGCATGGCAGACCTCATCACCTGCTTGGTGATTAATACCAGCAGACCTAAAAACACTTAAAGCCGGTCTGGTCTGAGGTGGTTCCAAGGGATGACTTTGGCCACAGCCCATCGCCACCTCAAGGTGCTGCAAGACAAAGCATGCAAACAAATCCCAGCAACGTAGCAATACAAGCCCAGGAAAATGCATCCGGTCCTACACGGGCCATTATGTGCAGCTAATGCTATACAAATTATGGGTCCAAGGGTAGAGGTTAGCAAGTCCTCCATCATAATTATACATGCCTAATGACCTGTGTTCAGGGTGCGAAAAATCACTGCAGGTTTTTTTTTGTTTTGTTTTACTTTTCACTTGGTCACAGAACTTCTGTCCCTTTCATGAAAACCCTCTGACAATTATAACGAAAAGAGAGAATTTCCATTACAGCTCCAACGTAGGAAATGCTACATGTTTTAGTGACTTAAATGTTTCAAAGGCACTTTTATTTTAACCAGAGAAAAGTGAGATGGAAACGTAAGTCACAAGTACAGACGCAACAAACAAAAACTTGTAAGAACGTATTGCGAAGTCGCCTGCTGTTTACGTTATGTCCTAAAATCATAAACCTTGAAAGTGCAGCCAGATCTTGGAATGGATCTAGTCTGGCTCCTCCTGTTCATGTCCCAGTGAGGAAAGTGAAGTGGGCAGAGATGAAGTGATTGTCCCAGGCCACCCACACAGGGAGGTGAAAGTGGCAAAACCAGACTTTCATTTCCACCAGCTGCCAGCCGGGTACTCCCGACCACACCTCATCATAATCGTGTCTTGGCTGGTATGTGTTCTCTCGAGTGTCTTCGGAGCTCCAAAAATTCTACACATCCTGAATTACCCCTTTAGAGATACCGAGAGACTTTGCGTATTTTTTTAAATCAACACAAAACTTTGTTTCCCATTTTTGAAGAAGTTCTTGTTCTCTCTCTGCTATTTACAGTGCAAGCTATTAATTTGATATTGCTCTCATTTAATAAGTATGGCCTGAGCACCTAATTTGTGTCAGGCACTGAGCTAGACATTAAGGAACCACAGGGGAACACACACTTGGTTCCTGCCTCTGAGGAGCTGTCGTGTGGCCTCATACGTGTGATAGTGCGATTAGTGTTTGGACGGGGGCACAAGTTACTTGTGGGGGGCACAAGTACTTCGGGAGAGGCAGTTCACTCATTGAAAAATCTCAGTGAGGGGCGCCCGGATGGCTCCGTCGGTTAAGCGGCCGACTTTGGCTCAGGTCACAATCTCGCGGTCCACGAGTTCGAGCCCCGCGTTGGGTTCTGTGCTGACAGCTCAGAGCCTGGAGCCTGCTTCAGATTCTGTGTCTCCCTCTCTCTGACCCTCCCTTGTTCATGCTCTGTCTCCCTCTGTCTCAAAAATAAATAAATGTTAAAAAAAATTTTTTTTTAAAAAGAAACATCTCAGTGAGGTCTCCTCAGAATCAGTTCCATCCAAGTAAGTCCCACCAAAGACGGGTCCTAAAGGATAAGTAGGAGATAGTCATGCAAAAGTGTGTGC